AAATAGAATGGGGGAGGACAGGGAGCCAGCAGGACTGGAGTGAATGGACACCGGGAGGACTAATCACCTCATCAGAGATCTTCAACAAACAGCTTCACATGGAGGGAAAACTAAATGCACAGGTAGAACGGCATGTATCAATGCATAGATTTTTTTTTTTTTTTTACAAAAATCAAAGTGAATACATTTAAACTGAGGGGCAAAAGTCTAGGAAGAAAAATATAGATGATTAAAAAGAGGAAAAAAAGATAAAACAACAGCCCTGGAGAGACAACTACTATTTCCATTAAATACTGTACAAAACACACCACCGCCTAACTTTCTCTTCTCTCCTTCCCCAATCCACTGTTAAATCTCTGAGATACACAGGACGCATTTTCTATCTTTTATCTGATATTGTTTTTACAATATCCAGAACTTAATAATTTCTTAATAAATGCTTGTGGGGTAAACGTTTGATTTTTATTTTGACTAAAACAAGAAAAAAAAAATAAAAAGGAAAATATTAACCAAAGAAATCAAGGGAACTGACGGGGAAATCTAGGCAAGCCACAGGAAGAAGCTCAAGATAATAGGAGCTGAGTGAGCTGTGGGCCAGAGGTAGAGACAGTGACAAAACTAATCTCATGTGGAAGCTTGGGTAATCTTAAGGCATTCTACGTTAGTGCTCTCTGGCCCCAAAAGCTGGCACTCGATGGGAGGGATACCCCTGATTCACCCCACTGACCTACTAGGTCATTTGCCTTCATACATACAGCACCACCAAACTACCTGGTAGTTCCTTCAAATGGAAATGAAAGCCTTAGAGATCTTGCAGTCCACCACGGCAGAATAGATCCCGTCACCCTAATATATTCTTATTTCTCGCCCTCTGCTCATTCTCTTTTCTGTAGTCCACTATCTCTGAGAGATCACTTCTTTAACTTGTGTTTTTTCTCACCTCTTACGTGTAGTCCCTATCTGTGACCATGCTTCACAATTCCCAGATTCCAATCCATCCTCGTCAAGTCCTCATTCCTTTCTCACATTGTAGACAATTGTTCTGAACAAATTCATCTTCTGCTATCTGGCTTTTACTAAGAAAACTGTATTTAGTATAAAGAATATGAGAGGACGGATGAAAAGGAATAGTAGTAGAGAAAAAGTGGTTAGATACCTGAACATACTGTCAGGTGGAGTTACAGGCATAAATGTGAGTCAAACTTTTGATATATTCTGTTAATAACTATTACAAAGGAACACTGCACTAACAGAAGTAACAGTGATCAGAAAGAGATGGTTAACTTTTATTCTGCTTTGCTTTTGTTCAAATATGCTTTGGATATTGTATCCAATTTAATTTACCTTGATTTAGGGACCACTTCTGAAACTGTACCACGTAGAAATAAAGGACCCAGCATAAAGAAGATACTAAAAACTCATTATAAGAAGCATTTAGGAAAGTGTAGATATTTTAACTAAGTGAAGCCTTCCAAAATATATGACTGACCTTCAAGGGGAAGAAGAAAAAACGAGGGCTATTACGAAAAAATCACAGGGAAGTCTGTTCCTGCTGCTATAAATCATGTCTAATAATCAGAGGAAGCTTTCTCTCCCATTAACACCGGAAACATGTCAGGAGAAGGCAGTGAGCACATTTCCTCACCAGCTCTTGCCCTGAGCCTCAAGGCCCTGGGTGCCCTGTGTCATATTAAAATCAAAATGCTGTCCCAGAACCCTTCTTTTTCTCTTTTAAATCCCTAGATTGCTATTTCTGGGCACACGTGCATGAAGTTCTCAGCCACAGAACACATGGGATCCCTTGTACGCAATAATATGAGATTGCTGAGACTATAGAAGAGCCTTCCAGCAGGAAACTAGGATTCCTAAATCCTCATGCATCCAATATCAGAACTCACAGACTTTTCCTTCTTTTTTCATGGGGGCCAATATAAGCATGAGGAGAAAGTCTCCTGTTGAGTCCTCTGGTGACCCAGGGTCTCCTGACCCACCATAGCATTGTTCCCCTCCCTTACTCATGAAACTCACAGAGGATACAACAGATTAAGTCCTGCTTGAGGAATCAGCTGCCTGCATCCAGTTATCAGAGCTGAGACTGCTTCTGAATCTAGCAGGTTTTATAATCTACTGTCAGCTCCTCACACTGTCCCATCCCCTTCTCCAAGCCAGCTGGGAGCAGTAGTTTGGGATACTGGGACACGGCAGGTAAGTTAAAAGTTCCCATGAGACCTAGGCTGGAGTGCAGTGACACAATCTTGGCTCTCCGCAACCTCTGCCTTCCAGGTTCAAGCAATTCTCCTGCCTCAACCTCCCTAGTAGCTGGGATTACAGGCGCCTGCCACCACACCCAGCTAATTTTGGTATTTTTAGTAGAGATGGGTTTTATGGTGTTGGCCAGGCTGGTCTCAAACTCCTGACCTCAAGTGACCAGCCTGCCTCAGCCTCCCAAAGTGCTGGGATTACAGGCATGAACCACCGCACCTAGCAAAGAACACGATTTAAATGTGGGAGAGAATTCAATTCTGTGTCTATCTGCTTGACCACACAGACCATCCTCTTAAACATTCGCTTATTCTACATTCAACACTGTCATTGCACTGTCTGCCACCATACCACCACTCTGCCACTGCCAGCACATGTGCTGCCCTGACACTGCCTGAACACACATCCAAGTAAACACTTTCCTGCCACTTCCCTGATGAAGCACTTTTGCCAGCACCCTCCATTGGGCTGTTGTTGCCAGGGGACTGAGAACACCTTGACTCCTCCAGTGTAGTAAGTGCTTAAGTTAGAGGGGCAAGAGAACAAAGCCAGGGGCCTGGTCCCAGCCCCTCAGGGTTAGAGCACGCAACCCAGGAGTGCTGAGCTGAGTCTTGGCCCCCTGAAAATGTCCAGAAATGAAGCCAGTTGACTGAATCCAAATTATATCACAGTGAAAGCCTCAGGGACACCAAAGAATAAAAAAGCAAAAAGCCTCATCCTAAGGAGAAATTCAAAGATTCAAGGAACATCAGACAACACAGGGGAGAAAAAAACAGCATAAGAACTTATGGTGGCAGTGGCAGTGCAATGAGAGTGGTAGTGTAACAGCATGGTGGGGTCCACGCATACATGTGCATTGGCAGTGGCAGGGTGGTGACATTGAGGTTTGTGTACATGTGTGTACATCGGTGATGGTGGGGTGTCAATGTCTACATGACTTTAGCAAAGCAGTGGGACAGGCTGCAGGTGGGTGCATGCCAGTGGTTGGGAGCCTTCTGCCAAAGCTGACAATTAGGTGGAGTCTGTTGGTGAAGGAGCTATGGCAGTTGTCACTGCGAAGCTCCTTGATTTGGCAACTGAGGTTGTGACACAAGCATGTGCAGCCATGCTGGGACCCTGAGAGAGGCTGGCAGACAGGGTAGCACTCAGATCAGACTTGCCTGGTCCCACAGGTAAAATATCCCTGTTCCCTACAAGTTCAACAGCCAACAAGGTCAAAGACACCTAGAGGAGTATGGCAAGCCTTGGGGGACGGGTGTGTCTGACTGTGCTCCACTGCAGCCAGTCCAATGCCAAACCTTCTGGGCTCCAAATGGGTTGGAGTCCCATTCCTTCCACATATGCAAACAGTTGTCCCTGACAGCTCAAATGTTCATGGAGGTTGTGGGGGTCCCCTGCAGCTAGGATTGCAGAGGCCCATGGAGAGTGGGCCACATCATGCCTATATAACTCATCCCTTCCCCAGGAGCCACTCAAGGCTAGAAATGAGTCCTGGTGCTCAGAAACCCCATGCAGGGTTTTCAGCTTCCTCCTCCTTCAGCCCAGGTCTGTGTCCTCCCTCAGTCTGCTCTCAATTCTTTCCTTCCAAAGATCTGCCCAGAGTGTGTCAGTCTTCTTGACGGTTTTGTCTCTTGGTGGGAGAAACTCTTCATGGCTGTGTCTAGTCAGCCATATTGGCTCTTCTCTATTCTGCTCTCGTCCTTATGAATACCTTACTCTTGTTTATCTAGGACTTAATTTATTGTTCCTTTTCTAAATTACTAAGTTGTTAACTTAGATAATTGATTTTACATCTTTTCTCTTTTCTAATATAGGCATTTAAAGTACAAATTTTCCTCTGTTTTCTCTTTGGCTCATCTCACAACTTTTGCTGTATATACTTTTCAATCAGTTTGAGATATTTTCTAACTTCCTCTGTGATTTCTTACTTGTTCCATGGGTTATTTATATGTATTTAGTCTAGTTTCCAATTACTTCACTCTTTCCATGCTATCTTATTTTCCAATTTAATTCTGTATTGGTAAGAGAATACGACCTTGCACACACACCAAAAAAAAAAAAAAAAAAAAAAATCCTCTGCCCCTGCTCCCTATGGCTTTCCAAGCCCCCATGTGACATTGTCAATAATCCCTAAGTTTCCTCACCCAAAGGATGAGAAGCCTCCCTCCTACTGCCTATTAGAAAAGAATCATTCTACTATAAAGACACATGCACACATATGTTCATTGCAGCCCTGTGTACAATGGCAAAGACCTGGAACCAACCCAAATGCCCATCAATGATAGACTGGACAAAGAAAATGTGGTGCATATACACCATGAAATACTATACAGCCATAAAAAACGATGAGTTCGTGTCCTTTGTAGGGACTTGGATGAATCTGGAAACCATCATTCTCAGCAAACTGACCCAAGAACACAAAGCCAAGCACCGTATGTTCTCACTCATAGGTGGGTGTTGAACAATGAGAACATGTGGACTCAGGGAGATGAGCATCATACAAAGGGGACAGTTGGGGAGGGTAGAGGAGAGATAATGGGGGGTGGGGAAGGAGGGGAGGGTGGGGAGGGATAACATGGGGAGAAATGCCAGATATAGTATGCACCTAAAGTAAAATAAATAAATAAATAAATAAATAAAAAGAAAAGAACTTCATTTCCACACTTTATACTTCCTCAGAGGAAGGTTATTCTTCCTCTCAGCACAAGGGGGACACATGGGAGTAAATACTTCTCTCTTCTCTCTGGTTTCTTCTCTCCTTTGCTTGGTTTTCCATATGGGAAGAAGGGTCACTAACACAATTGGGCAGAAACTGATGGGAGCAATGAATGCAATGGACGTGGTTATTGTGTTTCCAAAGTACAAACCATGTTCTAATATGTTTCACTACCTGCCTCATGGGTATGTAAGGATGGTAGTAAACTCTCTTTTTTGTATTAAATGCCATAGCCTAACCTGCATAAGAGCTTGTGACCTGATTTTTAGAGAGATACATGGAAAACAACTATTCACTATTCTGCATTTTATATTCCACTAAGGTTTCATTTATGAGATTTTGCAACAGCCATCAGATGGCTGGATAATTGTGCTTGGAGTCTACTTTTCAAATCAAATTGCATCATACGGTTACTTTTGTTTTTTTAATGAATATTTATAAAACAAACATATACACAGTACTTGGTATTACTCCTTCTTTATCCTAAGCACAAATGTAAACAAATTAAAAACACAAAGAGATACCTTTCAAAACAAATTTACTAAACACATATATATATTTCTTCCTTGAAAACAGAAATTACATTTCATTATTACTAGAAACGATTACAGCCACTTCTCCACTTACATTTGTTTTAAATAAGTAATACCCATACTGCAGTAAATGATGTTTTCTTACACTGGCGTTCTCAGCTGCTTTGAAGAGACCCTATTGGTACACAGAAGCCAATGATCTGGGGCTCCCAGCACTAACTTAGAGGTTTTGAAGACACTCTAAACCTAAAACCAACCAAAAAGTGGGACTTTACAATTACAATGTTGCACGGCCTATCAATGGACAAAGGCAAAAAAGATGACACATCCAGAACTATCACCTGTTTCTCCTATCCCCAAGTCCTACTGACACAGGAAGTAGAGAAATGTTGAAATCAAGAGCAAAAGAAAAAATGGCAAAAATAGTCACAAATCCAGGTATCCAGGTACATCCCAATAAGCCAAGTATCTGTGGGTGTTCTTTAGTATGGCACTAGTAAGATTAGAAGGACTGCTCACTGCAAAATAGTCTATATTCATGTATCTACACCAGTCATAGGCTCCTCGACGTGTGTCTCCAGAAGGCGCCTCTGAAGAAAACTATGAGAATATGTTCAGATCAATTCTTTTGGGTAAACACCCCGAGCACTCGCTGGCGGATCTGCTGAGTCTTCACCCCATAGACAAGAGGATTGAGTGCAGGTGGCACAAGGAGATACAGTGTGGCCAGAAGAACATGAACATGATGGGGTACATGGTGGCCAAAGCGGTGAGTGAGGAAGGAGAAAATTCCGGGGACATAGAAGATGAGAATCACACAAACATGAGATCCACATGTGCCAAAGGCCTTAAGTCGGGCCTCACTCCCTGGTACCTTCAGCACTGCCTGGAGGATGTAGGCATAGGAAACACCAATGGCCAGGACATCCAGCCCAATCACAAGCAAGGCCACAGTCAGTCCATAAGCTCGGTTCACCGTGGTTGCTGAGCAGGCAAGTTTCACAACAGCCATATGTTCACAATAGGCATGGCCTATGACGGTGGCCTGGCAGAAGATAAGTTTTCGCAACAGAATGGGGAAGGGGATGAGGAGTAGAATTCCCCGCACCAGCACTGCCATTCCAATGCGTCCTATGACACCTGGATGCAGGATCGTGGAATGGTGCAAGGGGTGACAAATGGCTACATAGCGATCCAGGGCCATGGCCACAAGTACCCCCGACTCCATGGAGGAGAATGCATGGATAAAGAACATCTGAATCAGGCAGACAGTGTACCCAATCTCATGGGCGTGAACCAGGAGCACTGCAAGGGCTTTGGGTGCAGTGGAGGAGGCCAGAACCAGGTCGATGGCAGCTAGCATGGACAGGAAGAGGTACATAGGTTGGTGCAAGGAGGAGTCCATCCAGATGATGAAGAGAATGGTAACATTGCCCACTAGAGCAAGGAGGTAAAGGATGCCCATGGGCAGTGCGATCCAGTGCTGGCTTTCCTCTAAACCCGGAATCCCTACCAGGAAAAAAGAAGGCCGGGGTGGCCTCCAGCTGGAATTGCTAAGGGCCATTATCAATGGCTTGGAGGGGAAAGAGAAAAAAGAAACCAAAATCATGATTTCTGCATTTCTGGTATGTTATCACATTGCCCAAATGTGGCAACCATCTTCATGAGAAGAATAAAGTGACTTCAACTGCAACCAAAGGGAATAAAGTTAGATGCAAGGAAGAAAATCTCCTTTGCTGGAGATAATTATTTTACAGGTGAGACAGACACAAGTCTGAATTAATACAGGTGCAGTTTTGTTTAGAGATAAAAGTAAACATAAGCTGCTTTTGGAGAGATGCTTAAACTCTACTATTCAGTTGTTTATATTTTGGAACTGTCTTTTTCAAAGAGTTATTTTTATCACCCTCTTGGCATTACTGAGCACTGCAAATCAATCTATTGTTTTTGAAATTTGTCTTAGTTTCCATGACATGTAATTCCAGAGCTATTCTTCCTGTTGCCTCAGTCCCACCATTTTCTCTATCTCATTGTGTCATTGATTCCCGGGATCCATCCTCTCCTTTCATCCCTCTCTGTACATTATCTCTGAATTGATTTCATCTATTCCCATCGTTTTAACTGTTTATATATTTTTATTTCTTCCAAATGTATGTTTCTTTATCCAAATATCTTTCTGAAATATAAATTAATTTTTCCATTTGCTTTGTGAATATCTGTACCACATCCTCAACATATTCAACACTGGATTAATTCACCTATTTTTTCCAAATTTGGTCTACTTACTTTTTGGCATGAATTTTGAATCACATCCCTATCTACCTACATAATCCAATCTAAAAACTTATGAAGCTATCTTTATTCATAATCTCACATCCCTTTTATCCCTTCGCCAATTTGTGTTGACTTTATTGTTAACCCTGCTTTATATCCACTTCTGCTTCCCAACCCCCAATGTCTCTGCCTTAGTTCATACCCAACTTCGCTAAACTGGACTATTTCATAGATCGCTCTGCTTTTGCCATTGTTTATTTGCCTTCCAATTCACTCTCAACCCTGAAGTCACAGGGTTTCTCTAAAATGCCGATGTATATATATAACTCCTAAGGTTAAAATTCTTCAGTGAATTTGTGGCATGGAATAATATCATACTTTAAGCCTGGCGTAAAAAGTTATCAAAAGTTATATTTTGTGTATTACTTTTGTCTTACAGTTAATATATTTCTACATATATGTTTTACTAACCATCCCAGCATTCTTGAAGTTATGCGTATACACCAAGCTTACCTATGACCTTTGTGAAGTCTGTCTTCAACTTTCTTTATCTGAATTGGTTCTTCAAAATTCAGTCCACTGTCGCCACTCAAAAGGACCCATTACCTGTGTGAGATGAATACTGATTATGGTCAGAGCACGTTACAATCTTCCATTGTTCATCCATAACTTTCTGACTTATCTCTAGAAATTCTATCGGTATCTTAATGGTTTATTTAAAATAAAACATATCTTATTATACTTTATAATTATAAGATAGCATGGTCAACATTTCACAATGTACTGGGATAAATTGAAGCACTAGAGGAAGACAAACTTGGTTTAAATTTTGTCCATTTCATATTCTAGGAATAAAGCATTGGCAGGACACTAAAACTCTCTCAGTCTCGATTTTCTGATTTTATAAATAACGTCAATCTTACAGGTTTATTGTAAATATTAATTAAATAATGTACGTAAAGTCCTGATATGTAGATTAGTCTACAAATTATAGTTATAATTATTTTAATATTAAAAATAGAAGAGGACTGAGTATTAGATTGCAGGCTTCTTTCTTTCCTTCTTTGTCTCCATAACTCTGCTTCTCTGTTTCAAACTTTTGTATATTTACTTCTCATCGTGATGTTATAACAATTCAGTGTCTTTGACATCCTCATGTTAACATGAAGTATCAAGATGCTGTGTTTAACCTTATCCATGGGATGCACCCTTGAAATACTGAAACAAAAAATTTGAAACTGGATATGTGTATGTCTTTATGTTTGTCTTAAAGGACAGGTGTAGTCTGAAATAACAGTATTTTTATCTGTTGGGGTGGGGGTGCACATGTACACGTAAGGATTAAAAAGTCAAGAATGACTTAGTTCTTGTGGGTAATGCATCTATAGATCACACAGAGTGCTTTTTGTACAAATTAATAATGACTATTATATTGACCCAAAACTCTGAATATGATAGCTATAAAATCTGAAATGCCACGTGGGGATATATTTCCTAGGCTTCTTTGTTTTTGTTTTTGTTTTTTTTCCAGAATCAACTTGAAATAACAATGACATTTTTATTGAGACCTCCAGGGGAATCTCATAATCATCAAAAAATTCACCCTCAGTGCTTAACATTCCACACAGAGAGGAAGTCCATTCTCTTTTTTTAACCTACCCCCTTCTGTTGCAAGCTTCAGCCCATTTCTCATTTTTTAGCTAAGAAGTCAGAGAACAGCTGTGCATTTGTGGAAGGCACTCAAGACTTGAATAGAAGCAGTGAGAGAAGAGCAGTGAGATTAAAACCAAACTACAGAGGGTGAAGCAGAGAAGCAGAGACACATGCGCCTGAGTATAACCTGCTTCTACTTTTGTTGGATGGCTCGTAAGCCTAGAGTAAAAGTCTACAACAGCTTAGTAAATGGTAAATTTTTTTAACTTATTTTAGTTTAATTTTTAACTCGGAGTAGGTGGGGGTGGGAAGTGGATAAGGGATAAAAAATCACCTATTGAGTACAATGTACACTATTCGGATGATGGGTACACTAAAAGCCCAGGCTTCATCGCTGTGCAATTCATCCATGTAACCAAAACTATTACTCTTAAAGCTTTTGAACTTTTTAAATAAATTCTAATTAATTGTTATTAAAGTAAACAGGAGGTCCCTCTATGATTCTTAGAGGAAAAGCAGAAAGACTATTTTCAGGAAACTAAAGAAAAAGCTGTACTTAGTTCTTCAGTCGCAAAGCAGAGGACAATTACTGAAGAGTTGAGGTTGTTCAGCTAGGTACTATTCATCTAATTCAGTCCAGGCAACCTACCTTTTGTGAAGTTGTGCTCAAATTCTGTAAGGTACTATGACATGTCTCCTTTTCTTTCCTATTGTAATGCCTTTACCACTTTATCCCTACATTAATGACCTCACTCTCTAAACCAGCCAGCATGTCAGTCTTTGAAGAGCAGCGACTCAGCATTACTTATTTCAGCAGCTCCAGGGTGAGCTCCGGAAGCACCTGGAATCTAATCAGTAATCAGTAACATTGGATGAATAAATAAACACTCATAAGATTCGATTAAAAAACAAATAAGCGTATTAGTGTCTTAAAAGACTGAGAATCACAGGAAGGTGATAAGGCAGAGGCTCAATTTAAGGACAGGAATCATGTAGCAAACAAAGGCGTGTCTTTTGAGGGGGTTACTGATTGAGCCTCAATATTCTTCATTTTAAGTGATGCTTTGGGTGCTTCATGGCAGAAAGAGACCTGCTGAATCCCTGTCATGAGAGAAGATGGTGAAATCCTGGATGTGTTCAGAAATAAGAGGGTTCCTTTGGTCCCTAGTAATCACTCTGCACTACCTCTAGCAGGCAGAGAGGCTTCATCTATTGGATATGATCTGGTCCTCTCTCTTCAATCTCCTTCTTAACAGTGGCCTGGACTCCATGATAGTGGGGAAAAAAAAGAAGAGGCAAGAACTTACAGAAACAGTAGGGGAGGGAGGGCACAGAAACAATGGGTCCATGATAATGGCCTAATAAAGAGGAAGATACAGAGCTCAAGCACTAAGAGGCAGAGCTCACAACATGGATGATAAAATAAGCCTGGCACAGGGCACTGTTCTCCTGGTCTCTGGGCTGTCTTTGAGGATATGCCCTTTAAAGTCTTGGAGCAGCCTGGAGGGAGACTCAGAAACACAGAAAGAACTAGGAAAGGGAGAAAACTCCCAGATTCAGGAAGGTCTGGGAATTTTGATGAAGAATTTTCTGGAAAATTCAAGAAAGTTTCATTACAACCCTCCCTGCTCAGCCCCGGGAACTCCCTAAGTGTCCAGTTCAATCTCCATGATGACCCTCTGCCCTAGCTTGTGGGTAACAACAATGAAGAGGATTTTCTATTCAGAAGGGCTGCACAAATATCAAAGAGGACATCAAACACATCCCTCGAGGTCTGTGCAGCTAATGTTTTCCAAAGATATGAAACATGATTACTAGCTCGGGAAAAGCTTGGGTAAACGTAGCAAATCAGCTATATCTACATGCACAATATGTATGGTGAGGATGCCACCTAGGACCATGCCAAATGGCCCTGTGAATGCCTCAGGCTGACCATGAAGGCTTAAAGAGATTGGGAGGTGTCCGTATGTTCACAGGTTAACTCTCAGCCCTACCCTAATCACTTTTCATCTATACTATTCTTTTCTTTCCCTTTCCCCCACTCTCATAGAGTCCAGGCTACTATTAAGAAGGAGATTAAGGAGAGAGGGACAGGTCATGTTTTGTAAAAGAGTCTCCCTGCCCACTAGCATCTAAATGGTAAAAGCCAGGAATAGACAGTTTGTTTGAGGAGTCAGGCTTGGAGAGAACAACTAATCTAACTTGGAGGGAAATAAAATTAAGACTACTAAGAAGTGTCAGACAAGAGGTATTGGGAGAGCCACACTAGATAAGCCAAGAAATAACCCCTGTCACAAGGGCTATAAGAAGGGCAGAATTCAGATGGTAGTAGTCTTCCCCCAGCCATAAGCCCAAAAACTTGCCTCATTTTCCATTGCTGAATTCCTGTGCACCAACTTGTCACTGTTTCTGTCATCTTCATCTGAAAGGAAAGTTTATACTTGATACTCTCCCAAGGCAGGGACGGTGACTGTGAGCACCACTGGGCAAGCAGGATGTTATCACCAATTGGCAGGTCCCAGAGGACTCATACACAACCTGGACAAAGCCTAAGTTAGCCCCCAGATTGGCTGGAAAGCCACAGAGCTAAGTATACAGCCCGCAGAGATGGGTGATTGGGCAGAGAGGCCAAGCAGGGAGTGGCTCTTGCATGTAACCAGGTGGCCCATGTCTGTCCAGTGTTGGTCATTACCCCTAAGCCTACACATCCTGACAGCATGCTAGGAAACCTCATGCTGTAAGCTGGAAAATTTCACATGCTCTGTGAGCTCAGGCTTCTCATTCTCTTAGAACAATTTCAACCCTAGTAAATTCATTAGTGGATGTTGTGGTTCAATGTGCTCATTCTTTCAGATGCTAGGAGTGTTGGCTGCTGGAAGTTCATAGCTAAGTCTCTCCCCTTTGGCCAAAGACAGTGGCCTCACCCAAGGTTACTTTTCCTTCTCCAGTGCAGTTCACAACCAAAGACTGCTGATACAAGATTACAAAGTCCTGGCCCCCTTCCTTCAACCTTAAACAACACTGCAGAGTCATCCTAGCTCAAGAGGTCCCACTGGGTTAGCTGAGGCATTTGAGACAACTAGATCATAGTTTAATTTCTTCTTCTGCCCAATTTTGCTCCTCTCGTTCCCTGACAATGATTGTTCTCCTGTATGTTTCTTGACAAACTCCCCACATGCAAATTTCTGCTTCAGAGTCTGTTTCTGAAAAAAAGACAAATGCAGCCTGCCTCAGGTGAGTTAAGCATTTTTACTCTCCTCTGTAGAACTGTGACAAACTCAAGGGCCTCAACCCCATTGCCATGGTACATGTGAGACAAATAGGGCTTCTCCAACAGTCTATCCCCAGAAGTTCCCAATGAGATGGACTGAGGCCTTCTCTATCTTATTTTTCCAACACCAAGCAGATCCTTTCCTTGGTCCCATCCCTGTCACTCAGTAACAGAGCTTCCCATTGAAGTAACAGAGCTTCTCCGCTAGGGGGAGCAAAGCTTCCCACTCCACTTAGTGGCCACATTCTCCTTGGGAACAAATAAGTAGATTGGTAAATTAGGTATCTACCAATTCCAGATAGTCTATTAAATGTTCATAAATAGCTATATGATAAAATGATTTTCACTAGTCATGGGATGTGATATATTAAGGACATAAGACCTCCCAAGTCTGGGGAGTTCAAGAAAGCCCTCCCTATTCAAGTTAGTGCCTGTAAGAATTGGTTAAAAGTGAAGGGAGGTGTGGGGATAGGCTGGGGACACAAGCCCGTGAAGCAGGAGCAAAGGGACTCTGATATTTTCAAAGACCTGAAAGGATTGTTAAAATTTGCAATTGTAGTACTCAGGAGCTGAGCCTAGAGCTTAAGCAGGAACCTGAGCATGCTGGGTCTTTTAGGCCATGTTAAAAGGCCATGGCACACCATGAAGGCTTTTAAGCAGAGGATTGAGACATGATCAAAAT